GGTTCATCATTTGACATGAATAATAAGGATATGGTGATATGTCAAGAAGAATTCAAGAGAAATCAAGGAGAAGAGGAGTTTCTAAATTAGGGTTTCTATGTAAAATCCCCTAGTTTAGGTCAAACTTCCAAGCAAGATAAGTCAAAATGCAAGCTTCAAATGGATCCTTAGCCAACATGAAACTTGTAGAGGATCTCAAGACCTTTAATTTGAGTGGTGGAAGACATCAAGGAGATTTATAGAACTCAAGTTATGGTCCTTGCAAGTTACAGGTCATCTGAGGTATCTGAAATTTTGTCTGTGAAAGTTACTTGTCTTCCAAGCAACTTTTACCCCTCAAGGAGATTTCAAATGAATTTCTGGTCAACATAAGAGTTGTTCCTCATTGTCTTAGATTTCTGGAATGGTATGGTATGCCTTCATATGATTTGTGGAACTCTACTTATGGTCTTGGCAAGCAAAGGGTATTTTGGTCATTTGAGAATTACAGGTCATTTCAAGCCTATGCCCAAAACTCATACAAGGAAGCTTCAAATGGAAAACTTCACAACATCAAACTTGTTCCAAATGACATTTTGAGTCTAGAAAAGCGACCATGAAAGATTGGAAAAGCTCATAGCTCAAGGTTTCAAAATTGGTGGATTTAATGAATAAAAAATGACCTAAATTTGAGATTTTTCATAATTTGGCCAAATGGGATAAAATTATAGGTCATTTTGATTGAAAAAAATGTTTTAAGAACATTGGCAAAAGTAGAATTTTGAGTTTGGTTACAGATTTGAAAGTTATGCTTGGTTACTTACAAAAGAAGTTACATAATCCAAATCCAAGGGAAAGTGTGCATGGGAAGGTTCTACCAAGTTCTAGAGGTTTCTATTCTTATCTATATATTGCATGGAGAGGCTTCATGCCATGGTTGGTGATTCATTTTGTGCATGATACCAAGTTTCACATCATTCTTCCAATTTACAAAAGCATCTCAAACTCCATAAAATCTCTACCAATTTCCACATTTCTTGATTTGATCATCATCAACATCTTTCATAGATCAGAATTCACACAAGAATTTGGTTGAATTGAAGAGAACTCGTGCTATCCAATTCCATCATCCAAGGTGCAAAAAAGTTGGAAATGCTAGATTCAAGGGGATTGAACAAGAATCTTTGCATACAGAACAAAGAATTGAGTGTGTGGATCAAGTTCAGAGCATTGAAAGCATTGGATCTGAAGAATTCAGCAACTGTTTCATCATTTACACCAGGTTGGTTTCTCATTCGATTTGCTTGTTTTAGTTAGAATCATAGAGATTTGGTAGGTTAGAACTGTTAAGATAAGTTAGATGATGGATTTCACAAAGTTTGAGGAAGTTTCATGAGGTTTGCCATAGGTGTACCAAGACTGTTAGGGTTTGTAACTCATAGTTTAATGCACGATAATCTTAGGTTTATAGCTCATAATGATCAGTGAAAGGTGTAGATCATGCTAAGGTAAAGATTGGAAGAAATTGGAATGGTGGATGACAGGTGAAAATGGTGGAATCCGAATGTTCTACCTATCGGGTTTGATTGTTAGTTGAGCTTTAGAAGGAAGTAATGGCATGGCTGTGTAGAGGGAAGAGAATGGAGTGTTTTTGGTCTTTGAATCGTGTGAATTCATAGAGAATTGAGCGAGAACAGGATGGTTGAAGGTGCATGCATGGAGGTGATTTCTGAAACCCTAGGGTTTGTCCAAGGTTGAAGATGAAGGAGGACCCTACGATGGAGGGTTTGACTTGACTCAGATTGCAATCCAATGGCAGTGGTTTAAAGTTGAAATACAGAGGGAAATTCAAAAGGGGAAACACACCGTTTCACTAAAACCCTCAGATTGGGCTCAGGTTTCCAATGCTATTCGTACCCCCAATTGCAAGCCCAAAGCCAATTTGAACTGAAGTCCTTGCTATATGCACCGTTTTTCTCTTTTTTTAATTTTTGTTATTGTTTTCTGATCATTGGGCCCAGACGCGCTTGCTATGCGCGCCCCCCAGTCTGGGCCCATCTTGTTGTTTTAACTGATTTTAATTGCTTTCTGCACCCATTTCCAATTTAATTCATATTAATTCCCTTTCATTTTTTTTAATTCTTCAAAAATTCATAACAAATAGAAAAATGCATGTTTTTAATTGGTTGTTTTTGCATATTGTTCATAATTTTGTTAAGAAAATTATCACATAAAAAAATTGGTATTTCATTTTATTTTTCTATTTTTAGCATATTTTTCTTTTAAATAGGATTAAATAATGTTTAGTTTAGTGCATGAATTTGTTAATTTTGGTTTGATTAGATGCTTTTATATTTTTGATCCATTCTTTTTAGGTTGATTAGCTTAGACCTTTAGCTTGTGTATAAAATTTAATTCACAATTTTTAGGATTAATTTTTAGGTGTGATTAGTGTGATCAAAATTAGGGTTTAGGAGATAGCATAGGTGAATTAAATCATTTCCCTTAGGAGTTGTAGACTGAATCTTTGGGGTATGGGACTATAGGGATTATGGGTAGATAATAGATTCCTTAGAAAATATTAGGATTCCCCTACTGCTACTAGTATATTGCTTGTATTTGATTGACTGTGTGGTGTGCCCTCTCTAGGGTTATTTCATTTGTCTGTGTGGGGTATTGGGTTTGCTTGGGGATTAGGAGAGCTGAAGAATTTGATGATGAAGGCCATTGGAGATCCAAGAGATTGAAGACCAACTTCCAGAGTTGATGAAGAGATTCTTGCTGGCAGCTGTTGAAGGTTGTAGGGTTTAGGAGCTAGGCAGAGCTCTAGAGTAGAGAACTTGATTCACAAACATGGAAGGTCTTGTCTGCCTCCATTCTTTCTCTATGATTCAAAGTCTCTTTCAAATATCCACCTCCTTCCTTTGGAAGGATTAGTGAATGTATTTGAAAGATAGAACTTTTGAGAGAAAACTGTCTGTATAATGTTAACAGTTAATGAGCCACCCTTGGTAGGCAATTGACTGTTTAATATTCATTTCATCTTGTTGACTGATATTCCTCTTGGAGATTGAGACTTGAAGAAAAGCCATTGCAGATTGGAGACTGATGACAGAGATCTTGCTTGAAGGCTGTGGAGATGAAGACTAAGGCTTGCTTGAAGCTTGTAGCTGTTTGGAGATGACTTGAAGACAGATGTTGATGCAGAGCTGCTGTAGCTGTTTATTTTTTGCTGTTTAATTCCTGATGTATTGATTGGTTTTCTCTGACTGTATTGTTTGCTGGTTACCCTGTTAAGGTTGAAAGTGAATTCTGTTCACTTTTGCCTATTGTTTTCTAGGTTCGAGGTTGAGTGGGACTCCCTTGCCTCGCTTGTATTGCTGCATCCATGCATTTTATTGCTTTATTGTATATTGCTATTGTTTCTGTTTCCGTTTATCCCTTAGGATCTCTGTTTCTCTCTGCGCAATAGAGGAGCATGATAGACATTAGGTCTTAACCCATGCATGATAACATTAGGACAGTTTGATTCCCTTCGCAACCGTAGGTTAGAGTTCTGTCTCTTCTTTCTCAAAACAAACAGAAAAATACATAAAGATTTCAAACACAATAAAAGACACTTCTTCCATAAAAGAATGTGAACTCATCAAAACGTCATTTTTGTCCGCTTGGACTGTTAATCAGAAAAAACCTTTTTCAGAAGGAATAAAAACAATCAAGACAGACTTGTGTCGTACGTGGCCCGAACTACGTTTGCTCTGATCTTTCATGCTGTATGAAAGTACGTAGGCATAGGATGCGATATCCTAGCGAGCAACCTTCCCCTCCTTTCCCGTAGGTAGGCGAACTACGTTGACTCTGATTTCTCGTTCCAGACGGGAATACGTAGGCATAAAGTGCGACACTTTGCCGAGTCATTTTCTTTTCTTTTTAACCCCTGACCTGTAGAGTAGATAGAATAACAATCCATATCCGAAAACAAGCGTGGATCCCGTCGAGTACGACGGACGTGAGGGGTGCTAATACCTTCCCCTTGCGTAACCGACTCCCGAATCCAGGTTTTGGTTGCGACGACCATACCTTTCCCGTCTTTGCGGTAGGTTTACTCTGAGCGTTTCCTTTCCCTCCTGTGGGATAAATAACGCACGGTGGCGACTCTTCTGTTCAGCCGGCGCCGATTTTCGCAGTAGCGACAAGTTCCATTGTGCGGATGTGAGGTATTTTAATGTGCTCTGGTTCTCGAGTAGAATCGATCCTATTGATGGGGATCTACGGAGGATTGATGGCCCAGTGTCCATCGAGCTGTGATGATTGGTACCACATGCATGAGTCCTGTTGCATTTGCATTTATGAGATGATCTTGAGTAATTTATGATGTTATGGCCTTTGATGTCCATTGATGAATATGATGATGTTGAATATGAAAATGATGCCATTTTATATATTGATTTCCTACATTGATTATTATGAATCGTTTTACTCACCCTGCATGTTTGAATGTTGCCTCCACATGGGTAACGTGCAGATGACCAGGTTTAGCCGTGGATGCCGTCAAGGACTTTTGAAGTTTTTGGATCGTTGGCCATTGTGGTTGACTTAGAGGGTCATGCTCTGATAATGTAACATCGGGTTGGGGTCTTTGAGTCAAACCTTATTTTATTGATATTTTTGTTTTGTTGATTTCCTTGCGGCGTAAGGAAAACTTTGGATTATGCCTTTTTGAGTTCCGCTGCCTTTTGATGAAATTTTTTATAAGCTTTGGGAAAATCTGTTGTTTACAGAGCCTTGACTTATATTTGATTATTGGGAAATGTACGCCCTTTGAGGTGTTTTTTTATTGAGTTTAATATTTTACTCTGATAAATGTGAATATTTTGTCTTTAAAATTGTGGGGTAGAAAAGGGTGTTACACCTTGGAGAAAAATCTTAAGGAGCTTGGTTTTCCTAACAAATTGACTAGATGGACTATGTTGGCTGTTAAAATTGTGTCTTATAGATTTAATATTGGATGAGATCCTACTATGATAATGAAAGCTAAGAGGAGTCTTAGACAAGGGGACCCTATTTCCCCTTTTCTCTTTATGGCTATGATGGAGTACCTGCACAAAAGTATGCAAAAGGTGAGCAAAAATTCTGACTTCGATTTCCATGCAAAGTGTGAGAAGCTCAAGATTATTAATATAAGTTTTGCAGATGATTTGTTGTTGTTTGCAAGAGAGGATATAAATTCTATTGAGCTGCTTATGAAGAAGATGAATGAGTTCTCTAGAGCCACAAGGTTATATGTTAATCCTGCAAAGTGCAAGGCCTATTTTGGAGGGTTGGAGGACAATGTGAAAGTTGAGATCCAATAAATTAATTCGTTTACAGAGGGGGTTCTCTCATTCAGGTATCTTGGGGTTCCTCTCACAAGTAAGAAGCTTTATATTCACCACTACATGGGGTTGATTGATAGAATTGTTTCGCGTGTTAAGAACTAGAGCACAAAGCTTCTTAGCATACTGGGAGGCTTTAATTGATTAACACCATCACTATTTCTATGTCTACCTGTTGGATGTAGTGCTGTCGTTCCCCAATAAGGTGATCCATAAAATTGAAGCCATCTGTAGATCGTTCATGTATACTGGGGAAAACAATATCTCTATGAAGTCTCCTATTTCTTGGAAGCAGTTTTGCACGTCCAAAGATCAAGGTGTTCTTAACTTGATGTCTTTGGAGGATTAGAATAAGGCGAACATGGCGAAGTTGTTGTGGAATTTAAGTGGCAAGAAAAATAGTTTATGGAGAAAGTGGGTTCGTACTTATTACTTCAAAAGTGATCCTTTATTGAATGTGCAGGTGAACGAGAATGTATCGTGGATTATCAAAGCCATCTTAAATCAAAGGGGTGTAGTTCAGAGCATGAATGAGTGGGATAGAAAGATTACGAAGTTTGAGACTAGAAGAGTCTTTGAATTCATCAAAAAAGAGTGGGATAGAAAGATTACGAAGTTTGAGACTAGAAGAGTCTTTGAATTCATCAAAAAGGAGTTTGCCAAAGTGGATTGAAGACAATTGCTTTATAGAAACCTGGCGCGGCCTAGGGCTCGTTTTGTGTTCTAGTTTGCGTGTTACAACAGATTGGCAACAAAATAGCGTCTAAAGAGGTTTGTCATGATTGATAATAACCGGTGCAATTTCTGCTTGCAGGTGGAAATAATTGAGCATCTATTTGAAAGCAAGTTCTTGATTGGACACACACGAACCATGATCCCAAGATTTGAAATGAAGATCTCAAATGGCTTATTCGAAAAGGAAAAGGAAAGGGTTGGAAAATGTGTATTTTGAGAAGTACTGCGGTCGAAATTGTATACAAAATTTAGAGGTATAGAAGCAGCAAGAGCTACGGAAAAACTGTGAATAATACAAACATTGGTGGTATAGTTATAGATACTTTAGTCTATAGAGGGTGGTGTAATCTTAAAATTAGAAAACATATTGCTAATCTAATGATAAATTAGTGTTGGATTTTTTTAGTGTTTTTGTCATCTTGAGTGTTGGACCCTTTGGATCACCTTGTATTTCTTCTATTTCTTTATATCAATAAAGTTTTTTTTATTAAAGAAAAAAACCACCAAATGAATGTAACCATTTATATCTTGTTTTTCAGTTTCTCAAGAAAACATTCTCATTCTTAAATTTTTTCCGTTATAATATGAATCATGGTGAACTACTTGATCCGGATTCAGACTCGGTTGACACTTTTTTTTCTTTCATGAGAACATTACGAAGAAGTAGTCGCCAATTCACTTCGTTTAAAAGATTTATTAAATAACAAATTGAATATTAATGAAATTAACACCGAATTATGTATAACTTGCAACATATCAAACAAGCTTTAGCTCAAGAGTTCTTTCATGTCTATAACAGTAAAAGAATTTAGTTATTGAGAAATTCAAGTTTCATATTAATTAAAGAGTTATTATAGAGTGTCACACATCACATTACAATTCGATTTTGTATATAAATTTTAAGATATATGAAGTAATATGGTCCATACTTTTTATGGATGCTCTAGATTAAGTTAGGTCAAAACACCATTATTATAATTTATACTATTCTCAATACAAAATATTCTTTTAAATTTCTTAAAATATTTAATTTTGGAGTATTCACTTCATCTCCCTATCAAGGTATCCATTTTGCAGGCACCGTATCTAGATTTTGTTTGTATCATCATCATAATAAAAATCAATAATGCTATAAAATCCAACTTTTGTTGGGGCCATGCCAGGTATCTCCTTAAAGTATGTGAAGTCCATGAATTATTAGAAAGAATATCACAACTAGTTCCATGTCAATTCATTAACGTTATGAGTGAAATCAAACATGCTTATCCGGCCATGAGTTGCGGTTGCATTATGGACCTTTGTCTTGCTTCAATTCTTCACTCAACTCAATCATTTCGTTGTAATAATTTCATGCTTTGTTCCATCTTTGTGCATAACTATTTCTTTTCTATCTTGTTGGGGGTATTTATTTGCTTCAAATTTATAGAATATCTTCTATTAAAATTTTATGTATATTTGATTAATGACTTTAGAGTCATCAATGTTGCAAATCGGAAGGTGTGTTCACTTCAATTTTATCTTATTTATTAGAGGAGTGCTATAATGACACCAAAATTATTACACCGTATGTTTACACCGTAAACTTTCAGCTTCATTTTGCCTGCAGCACAAGTTCCAACTTCTATAAAAATAATAAACAAAGCCAAAAAGTAGATTGTATAGTATAAAAATGGGGTGTAGATGTAAGTTTTGGTGTAACTATATCATTTCTCTATTTATAAATGTATTATTATGTATGAATGAAAATTTTCATTTTATATTATTAAAGATATTTTTATTTTATTTTTAGTATACTTTATATTCTTGATTGACACAAAAATGGGAGAGGAAGATTGAAACGTCGTTCAAAAGCAAAAAGAGAAGAATCAGAGGAACAAGATGAGATAATGCCGGTGGATCTGGTGGAGGTTATCAAGAGGAGAACATGGTTGTTTCTTCCTTTTTCTTCACTGCATTTCTAGAAAACGCAGGTGTTAAGAAAATGTATGAGGAGTTCATAATGAATGGTGATATAAATGATGTGGTAATTCTTAACAAAAGAGACGTAAGAGGCAGGAGGTATGGATTCGTTAGGTTCTTCAGTGTGATGAATGAAAGGAGGTTAGAAATGAAGTTGGATAATATATTTATGGGAAAGAGGAAGTTGTTCGTTAACATCCCGTGTTTTCAAAGAAATCAAGTTGGAGGTGAACGTTGGGAACAAAATGTGGTCAATGAAGCGTTTCACGAAAATGCAGATAATATTAGATATCGTAAAGTCGATTCTACAAATAAACACATTCGAACGGTTTACAGGGGGGCTATTCACTCAATAAACAAGGAGTCACAGGAATCAACCACTCCATCTTTAATGTTGTCAAGAACAATGTTAGGGTTATACATTATGAAGAGAAGAACAACCTAGTGTTCGCTCATTTAGAGTACAACATCGATGACATTGGGCTGGAGAGATTCAAGAAGGCATGCATGGGGGTGGTAGACAATGTTTGGTTGTTGCATAACATCTAAGAGATCTTTAATACATAAGGATATTTCTTTATTCGAGTAACTCCTTTGGGAGCAAATCTTTGTCTATTAGAGGAAAGGGAGGAAGGAGAACTTGCAACGCTGTTCGAAGAAGGTTGTGATTGGATTTATCAACAGTTTAAAGAAATTAGGAAATGGCAACCATCTGATGTAGATAGGGAAAGGGTGACTTTGGTCCGCTGTTATGGTGTTTCTTGTCATGCTTGGTCTCCAAGTTTTTTTGAGTTCATCATGGCTCCTTTGGATAAACACATGTGCTCAGATGACAATATGAAGAACCAAACTAACATGGATGTGGTACATTTCATGGTCAGGACGAAATATATTTTGGCTTTGAACGAAACTCTCAATGTGCAAATGAATGATGATGTATTCCGAATCAAAGTTGTCAAAGACTTTCAAGGTCCTTTACGAGTTTATTTACCATGGAACCATGGTGGCCTTGTCTCTTCGTCATATTCTGGGTCAGAAGCTTCATCGGAGGAGGGGGAAGAGGACGGCAATTCTCTAGCGAGTGAAGAAGATGAAGTGCCCTTGACTTGTGTGTACATCAATGATGTGGATATCCAAGAAAGTAGACAACTAGTTATTAGGGATGAGATTGGTTTGGAAAAGGGAAGCAGAAAAGAGGTTTTGGATGTGGAGATTGTGAAGGATCGAGGTATGGAGATTAGACCCACTCAGATGGTCAAGTGTGAAGCAAAGTCAACCTTGTCCAAAAATAAGAAACATACAGGTGGCACATCTAGTCCTTTGGTCTCTGAGAAAATTTTAGAGGGGTTTTCTAGGAAATCCAAGGGAAAGAAACTACATGAGATGAAAGATATTTTGTCTTTTGGTTTGGTCCTAACTAGTGTTGACGTGGCAGATTTGCTTAACTTACTGGATATTCACAAAAGTTCCATTGGGTCGGTTTTTCCTAATGGTGGGGGCCATGTAGAAAGAATTTGTGTAGCCAACAATGTGGATCAAGACAAATTGGAGGGGTCAATTGTTCCTCCAAAAAAGAAGTCAAATTCAGTTCATCTAACGATTTTAGTCGAATCTTCCTCTGCCAGGTTCTCTAGGGGGTCAGTGTTGTGTTATGATTGTTGCACCCCAAAATTTACCCTTCCGTTTTTAACCTTAACTGGCTTTTGTTTCTCTGCATTTTGCATTTCTGCAATCATAACATTTGTTCTTGAGGCATGGCATCAAGGTTTTTCTGTGGCTCAGGGTTCTTTTAGTGCAAGAGACTGAACAACAAGCATCAAAGGCTCCGACATTTATTTTGCCTGACGATCGAGTTGTCAATTTTATTTTATTTTGCAGGTTATTTTCAGCTCAGGAGGCAACATTCAGGCTATTTCAAGCATTCTCACAAGTTTGATATCCAAAAACACGTTTTAGAGGCTGGACAGAGTTCAGAACAGATGAAAACGGACAAATGTGCACTTTTCCCTCCAAAAGGAACCAAAATTCAAATTTTGAAGGTGTTAACCGATTAACCATATGGTTAACCGATTAACCATATGGTTAACCAATTAACCAAAGCAAAATCAAGCCAAATTTGAGTTTTTGAAGGTGTTAATCGATTAATCCATATGGTTAATCGATTAACCAATGCAAATTTCAGCTCTGCACGTGAATGTTCAAGTGAAGCCACTTTGGGGTCCATTTTGATCATTTATGAATTTGATTTTACACCTTAGGAAGGATCTAGAACCACTTCAAATTTTGGTTATTTTCATTTTCCCTCCAAATTCCCATCCCTAATTCCATGCCATTTTTCACAAACCACATTCCAAACCTCATTTGGATCCTAACCTAAGGGGTATTTAAATGATCTACTCCAAACCTCACAC